TTTTCCACAAAGGCAGATATTACTTCTCTATATCTTTACATAGCAAATAGGATTTTTTTGCAGCTATATTGCTGCTCTGAATGCTGTTTATTGCTCCTTTAAAAGGATACAGTTGGTGACATACATTTTAATAGGAAGGCCAAAACCCCACAATGAATTCCTCCTACTATCCAAAGAATGACCAAAAACTATTGAACACACAGCAACATTGCTACAAAGGCCGGAACTTGTGTTGAAAGTAATTTCATGTAAATACACTATAAACCGCAGGTCAAAATTGGACCAGGAAGTCAGTCTGTAAAACTGTGGTCGATGCTGACAACACACAGTTTGGGTGTATTTTATCTCTTGCCGATGGCCAAACTCACAAAATAAGACACAGTATTGGTATGTGGGTATATATATATATATATATATGTATGTATATTTCTGTGTTAAATGGAAAAGAAAATTCTGAGTGCTAGCACCTCGGATTAAATTGTGTTGATGAATCTTCTGCAGTGTGAGCCTACTGGGAATTAAATGCATCTTTAAATATCCCATTTTTCTCTGGCTCAGATTAATAATTGAGCAAGGCCAAGGCCTGTACACTCTCCTCTCCATCTTCGGCTTTGTTCACATACCCACACTCACATATTAATCTCTCACACACACAAGTGTGCACACTCTGTTATGTTGAGAGCTGTGATAATGGTGATTTTAATTGTATTAATGTGTTGTTATACTTGCATACTTGGAGTGGGTAGCAGTGCAGTTGAATACATTTCATTTCTTTGGTGCCGTGCCGCTTGCTTTAAGGAGCTGTATTTAACATTCTGAGCATCACTATAGCAGCAAACAGCTATTTGTGATGTAAAGATATTGTGGAGTCAACATGTCTACCTGAGCAGAAAATGAAGTCGCTCTCCCTGTGTGTGTGCTGGTAACCGAGCTTCTCGGTTGCATGTGACACCTCACAGTGCATGTGAGTGTGCCCCCCTGGTTTCAAATGGCGAAGTAATAAAAATGGCTCTGAATTAGTCATCTATTTTTAGCTTTTTAATATCTTCAAATATGTGATGCCCATGCTCGGATTACTTTTTTTCTAAATGTCAATATGAATAGTTCAGAAAGTTCCACTGATCTCCCCACAGAACACGCAGCTCTACAGTCTATCAGATCTTTTCCTGCTGTCAAATAACACTCAGGTTTACAGATCCAATTATATCTAGGGTTGGGTACCGAAAAGCGGTGCCAATATGGTTCCTATACGTCCGGTATCTACCGGACCGAAACGCAACGCAGATTTCGGTGCTTCTTTTCGGTGCCTGAGCCGATTGAAATACTTTTTTTACACTACTCTGATGACAGGTAACGACAGCCTCGGTCCTCCGCTCCTCACTCATAGTATTATAAGCACAACATCCACAGGTACGCGAAAGCTTCTTCTTCTTCTTTGAGGTGTAGTGGCGGTTGGCAAACGACGAATTGGCGCATTACCGCCACCAGCTGGTAAAATAAAATAAGTCAGGAGAGGTCGTATTTTGCCAGAGAAGCCAAATATGCTCATATTTCTGCAAAAGAATTGCTGAAGTTTGAAGCTGTAGTGTGTGTACAGAGTGTGTGTGTTTTGTATTTATTTAAGTATACTGTAAACTGTTAACAGTTAATATATTGTTCATAGTTTGAAGTTAAAAAGTTTGAAGCTGTAGTTTGAAGCCAAGTGTTTTGTATTTATTTATATTTATAGTATACTTTAAACAGTTAATATATTGTTCAATTTGAAGAAATATAAGGTTCAGGCACCGGTATCGTTTTAAAAGTATCGTTCACCTGCTTTGGGAATCGATAGAGACAAATATCGAGGTTGGATGCTGGAGAACAAAAAAAGTCAGAAAAGTTGACACCAAAGTATTTCACAGAGCTGTACTGCAGAATAGAGGCTGACATTTTGGGAGGAATCCTGTGGGTTACGGGATTCCCGCAAGCTGGGAGTAAATTTCACTATTAATCAACTGGGATGGGAAGAGGAAAAAGTTGAACAGGCAGGAAGGGAATCATAATAATTTTAGTTTACAACTATATATACAGTATATTGTAACCGGTTGTATATGGACCCAAATGCAACACACACAATTCCAGGGATCTTTGGACTTTTATTACAAACTTCCAGAAACAGCAGGCAGAGTTAATCAGAGTCGGGATCAGAAGGCTGGTGGGTTTACTGGGAGTCAGGCGAGATGGGTAGAACAGGGGCAGGCAGGGTCGGTAACAGGAGATGAGTCCGTGAGAGCGTGCTGGAGAGTCTGGCATTGAAAACCGAAGAACAATCTGGCAAATGTGTGTCTGGGAGTCAGGAGTCTATATAGTGGCTTGATTAATGATCAGAGACAGGTGAGTGAACAGGTGAAGGGAGTTAGACTGATGAGGAGGGAGTGACTGACAAGTAGAGTGAGGAGGGTGTGGAGCTGAACTGTGACATATATATAGTTAAATATGCAGTTCTATATGAATAACACAGTAAAGAGATGGGACAGGAGTCATTCTTCTTGGATTAGGACGGGACAGGATTTTAGTTGTTTTTCTCTGGCGTGGAATGTGGGATGGGAGTGAATCAGCTGTTAGCGAAAACAATAAAAGTGAGCCAACTAACAACAGGTGACGTACACAGCTAATGGGCTGTAAAGCCTCATTAAACACGCTTCATTCAATCTCAAAAACAAGTGGCGATCTATGCAAACAATCGGCTCAAAGTTGTCGCATAAATACACGTCATACAATTTTGCCAAAGACAAAATTAAACTCACCAAGATGTGCGTCCGCCTAGCTACGGCTGAGTTGCAATGAGGTACGGCAGTGTGTTTACTTGAAGTCCCATCAGCAGTAAGCCGAACACACCGTCCAAAACAATAAAGTGATCCGCAGAGCAGCAGCCGAGAGGTACGCAGCAGCCGAGGGGTACGCAGCAGCCGA